CCCCAAAACCCCAAAACCCCAAAACCCCAAAACCCCAAAACCCCATGGTTAATAAAATTTATTGAAATTTCCTAAATATTATCTAATGCCCAGACTATTAAGCCTAGTTAATTGCCAGAGGCTCTAAATTTGTTGTAAAGGCCTTTCTGATTTTTAGGTATTTCTTCTTCTGGTTCTTTGAGGAAGGCCTATAATCATTTGGGTATAAATTTACCTCTTAAAGCATCTCGAGCTTATCTTTGTTTCATCTTTCAGAATAGTTGTAACTTTGGCGGTTAAGGGTATTTCATTATCTCTAGTTGATTCATTCTCATAAGTGAATGTTTCTATTAAAAATTAAGACTGAAAAGTAACCATTACTCATACCTATCTTTTTCAAAGATTCTGACGGCTTTATGATGTAGTTTTTGAATGCAATCACGATACAAGAAATATTGTCCTTAGAGCCCTTGAATAAACTATTCGTCATCAGCTGGTTGGTTATCTTCCCCATTAAAGTATGAATACTAGGTGTACTCTTAGATTTCAGTCGAGTTGGAGCGCAGGTTCTAAAATTTTGTCAGATTCTTATTCGAATTTTAAAATAATTTTAAGATTAAAACTTACTTGAATGAACGATTTGCTCTAATATCACTCTTTTCAATAAAAGTAGTCTCATTTGGCTCATAATTAATAGACTGTTCAGAAGTCTCTAAAGTCTTTTGGCTCTTTGGAATGCTTTTATTGGTTATGCTGTAAACTTGGTTGATAATGCCTTTGTTAGTCTGATTTTCAAATAGGCCATCGGAGGCCATCACCATCAAGTCCATATTAGGATTAATTGTAAAGACTTTTATATCTGGAACTGCTATTAGAACTTTGGAATTTCCGCCAGTTTCATCTGTTTTTGCTTTAAAATCTCCTAATGCTCTTGAGACAGAGAGTCTTCCTGGATAGACTCTGAGAGGACCTTTAGGAGTGTTCTGGGGTTTTTCTCAGGAAAGATCCTTGTTTCGATTTTTTGATCGGTAAACTCTTCCTCCATTATCTTTAATCCTTCTTCTTTCTGTTTTGTTGTCAGGCTTATGGTCAATGGTAAGCTGTTTTATTTTTCTCAAGTTGTCTTTAAGTTCAAAATTAGACTTAAATTCCTTAAAATTCTTACTTTTATTTACTATAACTAAGAATTGCTCGACTATCCCCTACATTGGCTACAAAGACTTGAGTGTTGATGAAGATGGCAATGACTGCACAGCTTCCTGATGCCTTCTTTTTCTTGTTGTGAATATCAGTGAAAGATCTTACAATAGGAGCTTTAGGATTATTTTCTTCATCAGAAGAGCTGCTCTCGTACTCTATCAGAAATAATCTCTCTGCCTCTTCGAATCCATCAAGGATCGCTTCCTTAGTATTTGATAGGAACTTTGGGTGAGTTAGAATAAGGTTGTGCAGATTTTTCTTGAGGAAATCTGATCACTGACTACCTCCATGGCCATCATAAATTCCAAAATAATGAACCTCAGGCCATTCTCCCTTGAAATTTGAAGGAGGGTTTGCCTGTATCGAGACTGATATCTTGTCTTCATTGTAATTACGAACTAGTCCTTTTGTTGTATTTGCTCCGAAAGCACACATATATCGATGCGAGAATGAAGAGACGCCAGGTTTTTGAACAAGAGAAGCTCTACGATAACTTATCAGATTATTAGAAAGTTAATAAATTAAAGAAACTACTGAATACTAATCTCTCCTACAAAACTGTCTAACCAAAGGAAAAACTTACATTGAAGCTTGATTATCATTTAGTTGTGGAGATTCGAGTATCTTTTCAGGGCTATCATCATGTATCTTCTTGAGAAACTCCTTTAACTCTGTTCTGTCCTTATTCTTATCCTTGATGAAGTTGATCCTCGTTTTGCGGATCGTTCTTTCTGACTTCTTAGCTTTTAGCAGCCTGAGAGCAGATAAACTCTTCCTTTCATCAATTTTCTTTGAGATGGCTTGTGAGAAACTAGCTGAAGTCAGGTTGAAACTTTTGTCAAGGTCTATTTATCAGAAATCATTAGAGTCCAGAAATTTCTGAAGTTTACATAAAGTGAATCAGATCTGTTACAAAGGGCCTAAACTCAATCTTACCTCTAATTTCGTCCTTGTATCTCTTTCATCCTGGTGTTGGAATACTCAAATGGGATTTGCCTCTTAGATCTTTGATAACGTGGTTCTAAGACTGAGCTATAACTTGTTTAAAAATTCTCAAGATGCTTAAACAGATTCTTATTGATTTTAAACTAAAATTTTGTTTGCAAAATTTTAGGATAATCACAATAAATTCGGTTCATTAATATTTTGAAAATTAAGCTTATTATACACTTTAATGCCTCTATGAAGAAATACTAGTGGTGCTAAAAATGGCACATTTAGGAATTAGTCTTCACAGTTTTGAAGAGAAACTCTATAACTCTAATTCAACAGAAATGTCAATAATAATCAACAATCTTATAAAAAATTAGCGGTTTTGTGAGTAATAAACTTTATTCACATATTTCAGAAAGTAGTAGCTTATTTGAAAAGTGTTCTGAATTTTCTGAACAAGTGGCAAAGATGTTCAATTTCTTAGGTAATGTATTTTTAAGCCCAAAACTAACTCAGTATAACATCGATCCTGGTGGGTAATAGAAAGACCCTTTATTTTAATAATGTAGAGTGTCTAACTTACCTCATATTTTTCTTAAGAATAATTTAATTATGCTCAACACAAAAATATGTAGGGGTTTTGGGGTTTTGGGGTTTTGGGG